TAAAATTAAAGGTAAGGAAGGTTGGGCAATCCTACTTCCGTAGTGATACTGCCTCGGAAACCCAAGGAGGGGTCGCTATGAGTTGGGGCTGACTCGACGGCAAACAGCAACAACAACAACAACAACAACAACAACCCTTTCTGTTTCAAGACTTATAAAGATGAAGTAATCAAGACAGTATAGTATTAAAACAACAGAGAAAATGTAAAAATACATATATATATATACATACACACACACACACACACACAGAGAGAGAGAGAGAGAGAGAGATTGTATTATGATAAATGAACAATGCAATACTATAATACTCCAATAAAAAAGGAATGATCTGCTTTTTTATCAACATAGATGAATCTCAAAGCTATTATGCTAAGTGAAAAGAGGCAAACAGAAAACAAAAAAAGAGCTCAATACAATTAGTCATAAGGAAAATACAAAATGAAATGATGATGTGCTGTCACCACACATAAGAATTATTTGAAAAAAAAAAAAGGACAGTATCAAATGTTGGGAGAAGATATGGAACAATCAGAACTCTCTTACATTGTTGGTGCAAATATAAAAGGGTACAACTACTTTGGGAAACTGTTTTTGCAGTTTCTTAAAACAATTGAACATATATCTATCCCGTGACCCAGTAATTACACTACTAGATACAAGAGAAATGAATATATTTGCCCACAAAAAGTGTTAAACTAGAATGTTCGTGGGAGCTTTATTTATAATATCAAAACTAGGAAGCAACCCAGATGCCCATCAAAAGGTTATATTAACTGATAAATTAACAATGGAATAATATAATACTCAGCAATAAAAAAGGAGTGATCCACTTTTTATCAACATAGATGAATCTCAAAGACATTATGCTAAGTGAAAGAAGCCAAACAGAAAACAAGTATATTGTATGATTCAGTTTACATGAAATTCTGGTATAGACAAAACTAACTTGCAGCAGTAGAAATCATCACAATATTTTGTGTGTGTATGGGATAGTGAGTGATTGAAAAGGGACACAATGCGTCTTTCTGAAGTATTGGAAATTTCCAGTTCTGTCTTGCTATGCAATAACCAAACCTTATGGAAAGCCACACATAATATCTGATAATTTTACTATACTTAAGTATGCCTCAATTTAAAAAAAAAGTCAAGGTTCTAAGAGGAATATCATGTTCTTAGATATTGTATGAGAAATTAAGTCTCTGAACCTGACTCAGGATAAGACGTGAGAAATAAAAACTGACATTACTTTTTTATTTCATACAGGTTTTCCCTCAATTTGCATTAACTTTTCTTTTTGGCCTTGAAATATATGACTTTGGGGTCTCCAGTATTGTTGTTGTTAAGTGCCGTCGAGTCGTTTCCGACTCATAGCGACCCCATGCACAGCAGAACGAAACACCGCCAGATCCCGCACCAGCCCCACAATCCCTGCTATACTTGAGCCCATCATCGCAGCCACTGTGTCAATCCATCTCGTTGAAGGCCTCCCCCTCTTTCCTGGACCCTCCACCCTACCAAGCATGACATCCTTCTCCAGGGAATGGTCCCTTCTGATAATATGACCAAAATAGGTGAGACGAAGTCTGGCCATTCTTGCTTCCAAGGAGCATTCTGGCTGCACTTCCTCCAGGACAGATCTGTTAGTTCTTTTAGCAGTCCAGTATTATCATCTATTTTTTCCTTACTTACCTCACATCATGCTTTACCAAATACTTGCATCAGGAGCAATAATAATATGGCATAACAGACCATTTAGGCAGGTTATTTCCAGGCTTAGTGTCTTAGTTACCTAGTACTACCATGTCAAAAATATACCACAAATGTGTGACATTAAAGAACAAAGGTTTATTTTCTCATGGTTCTAGAGTTTGAAAGTTCAAATCAGGCTCTTGGCCATGTTGAGTCCTTCTGTTGGTCTTTCCAGCAATCTCTTGCATTCTTTTGCTTACAAATGGGTCTTTACATGAAGTCTGTATTTTCACTAAGTGCACATCTCTCTTCATGGCTCATTAAGACAACAAAAGAAAATCCCTGTTTCCAAACAAGGTCATATTTATAGGTTAAGTTGTACAATCATTTTCACCCTCTTTTTCTGAGTTTTCCTCTCACAGGACCATAATCTCACAGCTCCCTAAGATTCCTATCTAATCCTTTGAGTTGCTGTTGTCAGTTTGATCCCATATAGATAGTTCTTTAAAGACCATAATGCTTAAGGTAGACATTTTTTACTAGTTAAGGAAAACTATTGTTTGGCTTTAGAAGGGTTCAGGAGATATTTTTGGTTTACATTTTAAAGATTATCCAAAGGCAATTGTTTCAAGAGTTCATCAGACCTGTTGGCTCCAGAAATTTTGGAGTCCATGAGAATTTTAAATAGTCATCTGTGTTTTCTTTCCTTTGATCAGGATTGTTCTATAGACTCTTTCATCAAAATATTTAGTAGTAGTAGCTGGGCCTCATTCAGTTCTTCTGGCCTCGTGGCGAAGGAGGCAGCTGTTCATGTTGGTAATTAGCCACACATGCCATATCCTTCTCCTATTCCTGACTCTCCTTCTTCCTCTTTAACTACAGACAAATAGAGACTACTTGTCATGCCTTGGATGGGTGCTTGAAAGTTCTTAAGATCCTAGGCACTATACAATGATCTAGAAGGTCAAATAGAAGCACTAAACATGATAGGACAATTAACTGAGCTGTCTCATGAAACCATCACCCTAAACCTCCAAACTATGGTTGTGCACAATCAGCCTAGCCACTATTTTCAAACTGCTACTTTTTTCATAGGTATTTGAGTATAATTACACACAAAAATACACACATGTGAAAACTCACAGACACACACACACACACACACACACACATACACACCACTGATGGTAAATTTTCAACTGGTAGTTATCCTTCAGTTCTGAAATTTTGCTTCCATTTTGTTTGTACTCAAGAGATGAACAGCCTTTTCCATTTGGGTATTACGGCAAGATTGTCTCTCGCATGCTTTCAAATTTCAGATGCCTTGCAGACAACCATACTCATGACAAATCTTGTCTATGGCACCTCTCCATAGCCTCTAAAGTTTAAGGAACCTTGCTCTTTCCCTTCTTGCTCCTGTCATCTACTAGAATCATAGCCTCTATCCTCTCATGTTTTCAAATTTGGCATAAGGTAGTATGGTAATCAGATGTAGGCAGGGGCTGAGGAACTCTCTAGTAAGTTAATAAATGAAAATACTTGGTTTAATATCTGTCTCTACAATTCAACCATAAGCTCCATGATGTTGATGATGTTGTATGTCTTATCTATTATTTTATCTACAACATCTAGTACATAATAAGTACATAATAAGAAATCAATAAATATCAACAAGATGAATTAATGAGAAATGGATCTGATAAAAGAAAGCCACTCCATATACAACAAAAACTCAAAATTAAGACAAAAAACAGAATCCTGTTACTTTAATTGGAGGCCCAGAATTTCAGTGGCCAAATAAATTTTGACATATGATCTTATTAGAACAGAAGCACCAGGGAGCAGTGTGAGCTTCAGGTTGGAAAATGCTTTTGCACTGGTTAGTGCTAGGCAAGGAGGAGCTCTAGTAGCATAGTGGCTAAGACACTTGACTGCTAACCAGAAGGCTGGCGGTTCAAACCCACCAGCCACTCCTCAGAAAGAAGATGGGGCAATCTACTTCCATAGTGATACTGCCTTGGAAACCCAAGGAGGGGTCACTATGAGTCGGGTTCAACTCAACGGCACATAACAACAACAGTGCTAGGCACATTAAAAATGGTCATACTGAGGCAAGGAGACAGAAATAGATTAGAGGATAGACATACATATGAGTTTCTTAAAAAGTCTCTAAGAACATTATGAACTTGTTGGACTGGACCTTTGGATGACAGCTCTAGTTGAATTTGAAGGAAAATGGAAAGAAAGTAAATAAAAAAGAAACAGAAAGGCATGAAACATGTTACTGTGTCTTTATTTTGAAAGTTTTGTTTCTTTTGTTCCCCAAATTCAAATGTATTATGTGTCCTTTAACACAATGGCTATAAATATATTAATTTCCATACCATACTGTGCCTAAATCAACACCATGAAAGGAGTAAGGGCTAATCAATTGTAGAACTGAAATTTCAACTTGAACAAAATGCAAGTCTTTCTCCCCTACTTTAGGATTAGGAAGTATAGCTCCAGCTTTCTCTGATTAGCTTGTTCTCTTTCCACAAGTCGGCTACATTTCAACATATGTCAGCCTATTTCATTATTCTAGGAATCCCAGGTCCTCCTACCTAATCTTGTTAGTGCCCCCTTTACCTCTTTGTTTCTTAAAGTGTAAATAAGAGGGTTAAGAGTAGGGGTTACTACAGTGTAAAAAATGGTGAGAAATTTGCCTTGTTCGTGAGCATAGCGATTCTTAGGTTGAAGGTAGACAGCTGTGACAGTGCCTTAGAAGAGGAAAACCACAAGAAGGTGAGAAGTGCAGGTGCCAAATGCTTTCTTCTGTCCTGCAGTTGACTTTATCTTTAGCACAGCCTTACCAATAGCACCATAAGAAGCAAGAATAATGATCAAAGGCACCACTAGGAGAATAATACTGGCTATGGACATCTGAATTTCATTGTAGATGGTGTCTGTACCAGAGAGCTGAATCAGAGCTGGGACTTCACACACAATATCATCCACCAGCCGGTTGTTGCAGAAGGGTAACTGAAGGGTAGCAGAAGACTGGATCAGGGTCTGAACCAGGCCAGTCCCCCACGCCAGGATCGAGAGTCGCAGGCAAAATTTTGGGTGCATGATGGTGGTATATTGTAGTGGATGACATACTGCCACATAGCGATCCACAGCCATGACCACAAGGAGGACACATTCTGTAGCGCCAAGCCACAAGAAGACATAGAGTTGAATGGCACAGTGAATGTAGCGGATGGTCTTCTCTGGACCCCAGAGATTAACTAAAATCTGTGGAACACAGCTGCTGGTGAAACAGAGATCTAGCAAGGAAAGGTTGGAAAGAAAGAAATACATAGGAATGTGGAGTTTGGGATCCTTCAAAGAGACAAGAACTATGACCATGTTTCCTACAATTGTCAAGCAATAAAATATCAGAATGACCCAAAAGAGTATCTTCTCTAAATATGGCTTGTCAGAGAATCCAAGGAGGATGAAATCACTGTGGCTATTATTGCAAATTGTGACCATAGCTTCTGGGGCAACGTCTCTTTGGAGAATGATTCAAAAGTAGTTGGTCAACAGCCTAAGTACCAGTACCAACAGAAAGTGGGGCAATATGACTTGTTTGATTCCTTTCTACTCAAGGATGAGATTTTCACCTGCTGTATTTTTTTGGGAAATAAAAGATAAGATTTAGTGATCTGCTTTAATCTTTAATATCCATCATCCATTTCTCTATTTCTTTCTCCCTCTTCACATGGTCTGTTTTCATCAGATTAGAATTGTGTTATATATAATATATATCTGTGATAAATATTACTCTTTCTCCTTTTCTCCATTTCTCCTTTTCACTTCCTGTCAATCTCTGAATGTGTGCCCTTAGGAAAGTTATCGAAACTGTTCCTTACCTGAGCTCTTTCCTTAGATTTTTTTTTAGAAAAGTGGGAAAATTCAAAGGATTTACCTATTCTTGTTGGAGGGATTAAATATGAGAACAGGAGGAAAGCACTAAAAAGAGTTCCTGGGACATAGTATGTGTGTTAGCTATAATAATGATGATGGAGATGATAATATTTAAATAATTGTTCACATATAAAACACCAAAAATTATAGCCAAAGTTTTGAGAAAGTATGAGTTATAACAACATACATATATACAACAATACAACATATCAGCTACATTCACTGTGCCATATATACATACATACATAACAACATATACAACAATATAGGGAAAAGGAGCATCATATTTACAGTGACTTCTTTACAAAAAAGAACTTGGAAAGTAATTGTGCTCACTTCCAGGATTTTACAAAATATTCAGAGGAGACTTATTTGTGTTTAGATGTCTTCTTCAACCTAATCATTGATTTTAATGTTTCATGGGCTTCACTTTTAGAGCATCTTGTACCCTGTTTGTAGTTCTATATTTTTAAAGTACTTTAAGGATATGATGATGAAGACTGGAACAGAGGTAAAATTGAGATGTTATGAGTATAATAACAGAGTATGTTACAGATTTAGTATTTTACATTGGAAATGTCACTAAAAAAAAAAAAAAAAAAAGGCCAAAAAAAGATAAAGAACAATAGGGGAAATTATTAGTGTATACCACTCAAATATATTGGAATTCAGGATTCATAGATTCTAGACCCCACATTGCTATTAATTAGCAAGCTGATCTTCACAGAGAAGGGACCATACTGGACTAAATGATGTCTACAAACTCTATCAATTCTGAAAAGATTGTAGGTCTGTGATTTTCATCCTATACATAGCAATTAACTTCTATTAAGGGTCTTCATTCTTTCTTTCTTTTTTTTAATACTGGTGCCTAAATATCTATATTTATGAATCTACATAGCCATCCATATTACCTCTCCCAGTTCATTTTTATTACTAATCATTGGAAGACAAATATTTTCTATTGGTCAACTATTTGCAAAAAGTTCTTGGGTGGAGGTCAGACTCTTCATCTATCTGGCTTTTGCTATGAATTCATTTTATCTCTGCTGCTTCATCTTCCTCTTGAAAATATCAATTGTCCCTGTTCTTTTCTTTTGGATCACCTTCTCTGCTTCTCAGAACAAACACTATCTGGGAGAGTTCATGCTAAGAACCAGTGCATCTCATTCCTGTCGATGCAAATGTAGGGTACAGTGTTTAAATCTCACCATCTGAAGTAAAGGCTTCTGGTGCCACTGTTTCTCATCTCCTTAGCCCCAGTCTGATTTCAGTAAAGCTGCAATGGCAGCTTCTGTGGGAACTCAGACTCACTGCATCCGCCCTGACAGTGACACATTTTATATGTTATATATCAAGCACATTTTATATGTTTTCATTGTCTGCAACAAAGCCATGACTGACACCATGAGACCTTGCTTGGCATGTAGACAAATGTGCCCAGAAGTGAAAGCAATTTAATGACCCTAGGGGAAATCCTCACAGAGTGAAACATGGAAACAGGTACATATGTGCTCCAACCACTCTTATTTCAGGTAGAAATTTTGCTACGCTTTTTAGAAGGTCCTGGGAGAACTGAGTGCAAACAGTTCATGTTCTCGGTTGCTTACCTAAATGTTGGAGCTTTGAGTCCACTCAGAGGTAACTGGGAAGAAGACCTAGGTATCTGTTTTTGAGCAATCAAGCAATGAGGACCCTATCTATGGAGCACAGTTCTACCCTGACATACATGGGGTCTCCATGAGTCTGATTTGACTTGGGAATTGAGGCCCCATTATACACAACTTAGTAAGAAGCCTAATCTTGCCTTTCTTCCTTATCTGTCTCACCCTTTCTGTTTTCTCACTTGTGCTTGCTCACATCACCTTCCAAATCAACTATTTGCACCCAATTCCTTCTCTCAGGCTCTGCTTTCAGGAAAACTCAAATTAAGAGAGTTAGTTGTTCTAGAAGTGGCATTTGGGCAATGAGTCACCCACCAGTCAGATTGTAACAGGCCCTCCAGTGCTGGAAATAATTGGAGAAGTGGTAACTCTTGGCAGCTGGAACATCACCTTTACTGAAAGTCTTACCTCTTATGGCTTGAGATGAGGTACAGGTAGGAGAAGCATTGAGGTATGCAGTACTATATATCTATCCCTTGAAACATTTGAGGGCAACGGTAATTAGATTGTTGCTGAAATGGCTGGCTTTTGTTGACTGCCTTGGAAACTTTGAGGAAAAAGAATTAAAAAAAAAAAAAAATGCCATCTGGTCTATTCCGACTCATAGTAATCTGATAGGACAGAGTAGAACTATTCCTTAGCATTTCCAAGTCTGTAAATCTTTATGGAAGCAGACTGTCTCATCTTTCTCTTGTAGAGTAGCTGGTTGTTTTGAAGAGCTGATCTTTTGATTACACAGCCCAATGCTTTAACCACAGTGACACAACAGCATGCTTAAAAGCATCAACCAGGCACCTATGACAGTGGTTCTCAAGCGTCTTATTTGTAAATAGATTTCTGAGCTCCACATTCGAGTTTCTGATTACATCAATCTGAGGTGAGGCCCAAGATCTGGTATTTTCAACAAAGTCTAAAGACTACACTTTGAAAACCACTAACTTATAGGACACTATGAAAGCCAGAGACTTCCATGGCAGCATTTTAAAAGACTTATTTCCTCCAGCAGCAGGTAAGATTGTTGAATATACAGATCCAAGACTTAATAATAAAGATCACAGAGCTGCAGAGGCCACAAAATGTGCAGTCTCAGCAGGCCTTTTATGTGAAATCTGGGACCTTAGTAAAGAAGGAGTGAGACATTTAGACCAGGGATGTTAGATAACTGTTCAGTTTCATATCAAAAGCAGGAGTCTCCAGATTTCTCTGAGCCTTCCAAACTGGAATAGACAGTCTCCTCCCTCTTTCCAGAGAACAGAAACCTCCATTCACCTAGAGACCTGTAAAGCCTTCATCTGAGGCAGGGGCCTTGCAAGATAATGCTCTCTTCTTGAAATCTCTCCTTGCCTTCACTCAATATCTTCAAAGCAAAAACTATGCTTTCTGCTATAAGAGAAAAAATAGCTTATTTTAAAATCTGCAGGACAAGAAGAACATGTACCATCAGGAAACTGTTGAAATTAGGGGCAAATATCAGGGAAAATGGAGGAAACAGAATATAAAGCTAGATATGGGGAAGTGTTTAGACATGAGGACACTCTCCCATGAGTTAAGAATTAACCTCCTAGAAAGTAAAACTTCATCCAGTTATAATATACTGCAGTAATGTCTTATTGGGATTTTGACATAATAATATCTACAGCTAATAAAGTGAAACGACCATTCAGAGATGTTCTGGGTTGAGGCAAGAGGCCAGGCCTTAAATACCCCTATGGATCAATGTTTAATGTAGGTCACTTGGAAAAGGGTCATGAGTGAGTCAACTCTCTTTGCCTGAGGCAATACAGAAGGGGGCTTCCACCTAAGACCTGTCTTCTAGTAGCACATCTTGAAGCCCAATAATAATGCCTTCATTCTGCCATTATTATGTACTGTATTATAACATCCAACACAATCTACCCTGTTAATTGATAAGGTCCACTTCTTTGTGTAAGTTATGAGAGAAGCTCCTATATGGTTCTAGTGGGCCTTTGTGTATGGGGAAACTCAGAAGAAGAGCACCACTGTAGCTGATCAGACCCACAAATGATATTTATTATCTCCCTCTTCTACTGTCCTGTATTCTCCTCAACCATACATAGTATTTCTACCAGTCTCAGTGATTTGCCTGGTTACAAGATGCAGAGGTGTCTGAGCCCTTGATTTCTATACCCTTTTTAAGTTGAACTTAGGATACTTGGTCATTTACCATCACAATTAGACAAAGTAGTATACTTCTTAGTGTATTTTCTGTACTCTCTGCTGGAAAAACTAGAGCCTCTAACCTCAATGAGCTCATAATTGTGAGCACAAGAAACACAGATACTCCAAGTGGGTCACTGGTAATAATATCGTTAGAATTGTTTCTGCTTCTACTGCTTGGTTCATGGACCCCTTTATTCTTCCTAGGGAGAACACAGTACCACATGAGATAATTTAAAGTATACACTGGGTCCTGAAGAATGGCATTCCTATGTCTTCAACAGGACACTCTAGCATTCTAGCAAGTCACTTCAAGATAGTATAGTATGTAATATGGCCAATTGATTCCCTTGTCATATGTTCATTGTCACACTTTTAAAGTGGGCCCTTTTGTCTGACACAATGGATCTCATGCTACTAAATCATTATATAAATCCTCAGATACTAATGCTGACTTAGAATTTGTGGTGAGGGAAGAAAACCAATAACTAGAGTATGTATATTTATTCCTACCCTCCCCTCCAAATAAAAGAAAAAATAAATCACTGCACCATCCATGGTGGAAGAGTTCTGCTGTCATCAAGCTGACACCAAGTAGCTGGTTTGTCTTTTTGAAAAACACTGCTCTTTCTAGGACTCAGCATTAATTCCTGCTGCAGGCAGATTGGATTTGGGGCAGTGGTCATAGTGTGTGCTGTTAAGCCCATGTATAGCTTCCATCCT